ACTCAAAGCGAAGTTTTCTGCCTTCAAAATAAATATTTCTCGCTTTGGTCCTTTCACTTTCACTTGCTCCCGTTTGTCTCCTCCCCTTGCTCTTTGCATTTCTCTAAGCCCAGTCCCACTCCCTACCACCCCACCATGTACATTTGGCTTGGCCCTCCATCTCGCTCTAAGCAGGTGTTGATGGCTCCATTTTGATGGAGCAGCAGCTAAGCGGAAGCCGCAAAAGTGCGTGAGTCATAAAAATAAATTCTCTCTGTAGTCCAGGGAACAAAGGACACAGCCAAAAAAAAAAAAGAAGAAAGTAAATCCAAGTAAAAGAAATTCGGGGGAACAAGGAACAACAGCAGGAAAGTTTGTCAGGAACTTTGAATTATTCGCTTTTGGCAGTCAATCAGAGAGCGGGGAGAGAGAGACCAAAACAAATTGAGATAGATCATGGACAATTTGAAGTAGAATTGGAAATTAAAGTGGATAAGCAGATAAGGGGGAGGATATGTTTACAAGTAATATTTTCCACATGTGATATGCAGCTTGGAGTTACATAGCTGATAGATAAATAGATAGATGGATGGATGGATGTATATTTATCTGAAATAATAAATAACCAAAATGTCAGACACAAATTTGCAATCGCTGATCAAATATTGATTCTTCATATGCATCCAATTTTGCATCTATATATAAAATCCATGCTAAATCATCCCACTCCCACAACCCCCTCTGCACTTCTGTGCCATCACTGCCCTAAGCCCATTGATATCCATAACTTGCTGCAGGCGCCACCAGCACCACCACTACTCTGGCACCCTGCCACCCTGCCACCCTCCCTGTGAGCCAACTTCAGCCTCATTTGTCACATAGACTCCTGCTCACATGAAGCAGGGCAGACGCCCAGGGCTATCCCACACACACACACACACACACACACACAAAACTGTTGGCTCTCTTCTGGTGCTGGTGCTGGTTCTGCTGCTGCTTTTACCCGAAAAACTTCACTCGTGTCATTAAGGCTGGAGTGCAGGCTGAGACTTGAAGTTTGGAGAGTACCAGGTCCGGGTTGCCAGGTCCGTGTCGGAGTTCGGAGAGGAGCCGACCTCAATGCGGACACGTCTCGGAACGGGGCACAGATGGGACCGAGGCAGAGACAGAGCCAAGCAGCGAGACTCTTTCATGTCACGTGCAGGTTAAGCAGAGTGCGGAGGGAGGAGCGCGAGCGATGGGGTTTGGCCATAAAACGTGGCCAAGACTTGAACGGGCTTGGGGCTTGGGGCTGGGGGGCTTCGCCTAACCGAACAAAGGCAAAAATTCTGCTGCTTCTTTCACTCTCATATTTTTTCTTTTCTTTTCTTTGCCTTTTTTTTTTAATCGGGGTGTTGTAAACGTATCAATGCGATTTATGCAGGAATGCCAGGGCCCTACCCCAACATATTTGCCCCCACCACCAGCAGCAGCAGCAGCAGCAGCTACTCCTAACTCATTGCCACCACACCCACACCCCGTGTGCCCCCTGCCCCCTGCTGGACCCTGCACCACACTCTCATACATGCATAAGTCGCTGCAGCAAAATGTTGCAATAAAAACGGAAAGAAGCAAAGGATAAGCCTCATCTTTGACTATGGGGAAAACCCATTCATATTAAAGAATATTCAAAAACATAAAATCCATACAAGTAATATACCCTCTTAGAGGCAAGCAGTACGAGGTATAAAAGTCTCCAAGTGTAAGAAAAAATAGAAGAGAAAAAAAATACGAAAGACGAAAATCCAAAATCAGCCAAGAAAATGCAAAATAAATTGGCAGCTACCTTTGGTATGTGCCACTCCCCCCCCCTCCCCACACCACTTCTGGCTCCCTTTCGTCGCCCTTTGCTGTTGCATATTTCAATGCCGCAGGGCCAAACAACAACAACAAATAGCAGCAGCAGCAGCAGCAGCAAAAAAAAGGAGAGAAAAATCTGTGACAATTTGGTCTCCTCATTGTCGCTTGTCTCTGGCTCAGCCACAAAAATTCTTGGCAACGTTTCGCCTTTTGTTGCATCTATTTCTAGGTCTTTTAAGTTTTCTCCCTTTTGGGTGCTGTTCTACTTCGTAGATAGAGGCAGCAGGCAGGGCTAACAAAAATGTCTTGTCAATTGCCAGGCTGCCCATTAATCAGAGCCAAGAAGAAGAAAACAAAGTGGGAAAATTCTGCTATATTTGCTACAACAAAAATAAAAAATCGAGACAAAAAAATGCTTTCAACTTTCAAAGCTAAGAAATTAAGAATAAAACAAGCAAAAGCGTCGTCTTCAAATTAGGCAGAAAACAATTTTGAATTTTGAATAATTATGACAATTTGAAAAGTTTTTGATGCTATTGACTTAGGAAAGGCAGGCAGGAAAATAAGGCTAGGAACAGCCCCCAAAGGAAAAACGCCACTGAAGGGGGAGAACACAGAAGGAAGACAGACAGACAGAGCAAAGCAGGGCAGAGAGGCAGTGAGGAGAAGGAAGCAGATATTGTAGAGCCAGTGGGCGTGGGTCAACAATTAATCACTTAATTAGATAAACGAACAAAATGAAAAGTGTTGAAGTGAATGATTTGGCCCCAAGGGAGGAAGGACGCCAAAGCCAAAGCCCAAGCGAATCAGAGATGGGCAGCAACTTGTAAATATCGTTTGCAGGATGCTAAAATAAGCTAATGAAAAATAATGAACAATGAAACATTAATGAATGACTTGAATAAATAACTGAAAGGTTTATGGTTCATGGAACTAGCGATGAGAGATTTCGGAGCATCGAACTTTCATAGATATAACCATAGAATCCATCGTATTTACCTAAGTTCAAATTGATAAACTAATTTTCAAATCAAAATAAAATTATACGATTTTACTTAAGCTCTAACAGCACCCCCACCCTCCTCAGTTACATCCACAAACCCCAAATTAAAGTAAACACTTTGAAACTAGTTTAGTCGATTATTTTTTCAATAAAGATTTTAACCAGTTGATGCGTCAATTTGTAACTTCGTTTCGTCCCGTCGTTCAATTTTTTCAAATTTTATTTTTCAATTATCCCCTGTGTGTTGCATTTGAACTAAAATTAATTTATTTATCGAGAAATCAATTTTGGAAGTTCCTAGTTTTATGCCACAAAAAGTTTTGCCTTCGATCCGATTTGATAATAAATTATTTATAGAGTTTCTGCCGAGTTTTGCCTGCCCCCATCCAATGGGCAAAAGCAAACTAAATAAAGATTTGCCATTTTGGTGGGGGGGAGGGGAAACAGAGAAATTTGTTTTACAAAATGGTCGACAAGGTCATGCATGTTCTGACCCTCAGACAACACACCAGACCCCAACCCATCCCCTTAGGACCCACTCAATTTGGCAATCAATTAGCATTTGGATTTCGATTTTTATTTCGGTTTGTTGCTCGTTTTCAGAAGGGCGATGATTATAATCCATTGCCACGCCTACTTAATTAAATCGCTTCACGACGCCATCAATTTGGCCATTCGCTCGCAGGCACTTGCCCCTGAAAGGAGCTAAAAGGGATAGCGATAGAAATATAGAAATATAGAAAGAGAAAAAGTTTGAGTGAGGATAATGGGAAATGTTCGATTTTGATCTGATTCGAGAAGCTTAACCAAGTCCAGTGCTACATCTGCTCCATTTGCTCGATTTCTACATTTCCTTTGCCACATTCCTTTCGAGAATTCTTGGCACTGATTCACTTTTTATAATAGTTCAGCCTATCATCTATACATGAAATATTTTTCCAGATTTTCTCATATTATCCTGCCATTTTTTAATTATCATTTCTAAGAGCTTTCCTTTTTTTTTTGTGTAGTTTTGCCTTTTTTATACCCGTACTAAAAACGAGTTAAGGGGTGTATTGGATTTGCGGTAAAAGTGGATGTGTGCAACGCAGAGAAGGAAACGTATCCGACCCCATATAAAGTATATCTATTCTTGATCAGCATCAAGAGCCGAGTCTCTTTCTATATTTCACAAATTTCTATACTGACTGAGTACGGGTATTAAAGTAGAGTCGCGTCCAAAGAAGCGACTCACACGTTCCTTCTCGTTTGATCCTTTTTTATTGCTTTTTTTGCCTCTACATTCACCTAGTTTTCTTCTCTCCTCTTTTGTTTGCTTTCTCGCCCTCACTCTCTCTCGGCTGTGGCATTTTTCTACTCAATAGCCTTGCCCCCTGACCCTCTACTCCACTCCACTCCTTCCTTCCTTCTCTGTTCGCCACTGCCTTCTCCTCCTCTGTTCTCTTCCCCCATTTTGGACAGCTTTGTTTCCAGTTGATGCTGTTTCTTCTTCCTCTTCGTATTATTATTTGCGGTTTGCTTTTTTCCCCTCCTCGGAGTCTTCTCTTTCGTTTGCCCTCTCTGTGTCTATCTCTCGTTTCCTCAACTGTACTCTGCTCTCCTCTCCTCTCTCTTTCTGCACTCGGTTTCACCTGTAATTCTTGCAACTTTCAATTAGGAAGGCATTAAGCCAGAAAGGGCTTCATTGGCAGTGGGCTGGATGCCGGAGAAGGGTTGAGGGATTGCCTGGTTCCTTTACCAAATGAAAAGCTGTCGCAGAGCGCAAAAAAAAAAATAACAAATTTAAGAAAAGCAGGAAAAGGCAGAGAAGAAAGCAGGAACGAAAAATTGCAGGCAAAACAAAAAGTAAAAATTTCCAACTCAAAATGAATTTGACTGAAGATGGAACCGACAGAGGGAAGGACCTGCGGTTTTTGGAGGACTGTATTTCTCCCTCTCTCTCTCTCTCTATGACTGCATTTTGTCTATTTCCACCAGTAGTTGTTATATTTTTTTCTGTGCGCTGCCATGCGAGGGGGGCTGTGGGTCGTGGCATATTTTTTAATTAAAAAAGAATTCAGCTCGTTTCGCAATTGTCTTTGAAGTAAAGTGAACTAAACCAAACAACAACAACAAAATTTATATAAATATTTCTATTAAATTAATTTTCATAAATATTAAAATATTCCATTTCTCCATCATGTTCAACTCGAAACGTAACAAAATACACTCACTTATTGATTGTATTACAGCTCTCCAAAATCTCTGTTTGTGAACTCACCTGAAAATAGAGAAAGAGCGTGAAAAAAAGGGAATATTTAAAATCAATGTTTACAACGAATTTTTTTGAGTTATTTTTTTTGGGTAAAATATTTTTTCGCTTAATTCGTAGTGCATTTTTGTGCTCATTTTTGTTGCTCTCCACTTGTTGGCTCAACAAAAATACTGCAAGCGCAAAAAAAAAAAATAGTACTATCAATAAATGGCAGTGGCAGTTGGCAGTTGCAGTGGCAGTTGCAGCAACATCAAAGCAATCGGACAAGCAACAATTACAACGATAACAAAAAGGGTTCTACAATCGCCGGATGGGTAAACTAGAAATTGATTTCATTTACATTTCTCGCCAATTGCACAAGCAAAAAATGAACAAACGCAACATTTATGCTGTGTGCATCTCCGCAGAATGGCAACAAAAGCGAACAAATATAAACAGAAAACACACACAATAAAACATATTGAAGAGAGAGACAGAGAGACAGAGAGACAGAGAGAGAGAGAGAGAGAGAGAGAGAGAGAGAGAGAGAGGGAGAGTGAGTTATGGACGACTATTGGATACCTTTTATGCGGATTTAATTTTCGTGGCAGCCTCACAGCTGAGATAAATAAATAAATACAAAATGCTACCCAAGAAGAGTTTCCATATTTTGATTTTTTTTTTTTATTTATTATTTTATCTGACGGATATTATTTAAATAATATATTTGTTTTAAATCCATAACTTAAATCTTTTCTCGACTTGTGGCTCTGCAATTAATGTGTCTAAATAGTTAACCAGAATACAAAATGGGAATATATTTTCTGCTGCTGCTGTAGAAAAAAAAGACGGAGATTAAACCATAAAAAAAGTGAACCAATTTTTTGTAGCAGCGCAGAGAGGCTGATGAAAAAATAGTTGGGCAAAAGTGTCGAATGATTTTGCACATTGCCCAATTATCCAATATAGTGACTGCTCCCGCTACCGCTTCCCCACCCCCACCCCTTCATTCGCCATGAGCCAAAGTGGAGTGAAGTGGAGGATACTGACGAAGCAGTTGACTGACGACTGATGAGCGGCAGGGCAGGCTGGCAGGATGGCAGGACTGCAAAAGCTGCAGGGCTGGGATCGTGGATGGTGGATGGGTAGATGGTAGATGGCGGAGTAGGCGTGTCGTGTCTGATTTGACCTCGTTGTGTGCGGGCCAAGTTAGCGGCAATAAGCGAAAAACTGATTACACTGCCAGCGGCAGTAACAGCAATTGAAATTGATAGAGGCCGCCGGGCATGGAGTCGACAGGGTGTACTGTACTGGAGTGGGACTGGTATGAGGATTGCTGGGGGGGGGAGGACTGCTATGAGGATTGCTATGTAGCCGAGGCCACAAAATGCTGGAAAACTGTTCAATTTTGCGGCAAACTAATGCCCGGGCATACATTTGCTTTGCATTTTCGGTATGTATTTTTTTTTTTTTTGTTGCTGTATGTGTGGTGCTGGTGGTGCGGCAGCATTTCATTTCTGCTCGTTTTTGGCTTTGGGTCATGGCTACTATTTTCGCATATTCGATGTATTGGTGGTGGTTCATTTTGGCATCGATTTTGGCTACAAATATTTGGCTATTTATTTCGAATTTGTTTTTTGGCAGCGATCTAACAAAAAACCGATACGGTTCTTGTGGGCTCTTGGTAATTGTCTTACATAATTTTGCCGTTTAATTCCAGAAAGAAAACGTAAATTTACTTTGTGAATTGGATTAATGCAACTTTCTGTTGCTCGAAGCGAATATTTAATATTAAAAAAAATCGAATGCAAAATGCTCTAATTACGGAGAGTCATCATTCAAAAGGCCATTTGAGCTTTTGGCTGCTTTAACTGCTCAATGATTCATTTGACCCCCCCAACTCCTCCTCACTGAAACATAAAACGGACTAAACTCTCACTAATACTCAACACATTAACAACTCTCACACACACACACACAGATCCAGGTGCAGGTATTAGAGTGGCGCACATGTGCGTATGTATAGATGGGAGAGAGAGAGAGCTGTGAATTATTACACGGCGCGTCCGTTTGGGCGCATCTAATTAATAACAAAATTGTAATCGCCCAACGATAGCCACGCATTAGCTTTCACTCCTCCTACTCCTCTCCCTACCTACCTACCTACATCCCTCCCCTGTGTGTGTGTGTGTGTGTGCCACGCCCCACTACCCCGCCCTAATGTTGCTGCTGCTGATTATTATTATTATTATTATTATTGTTATTAGCGTGCAGGCAGCGGTAGGCGGTAGGTGGGGCAGCATATAAATTTATGTGCAAGAATTTATTTGCTGGCGTAGCCGCCATAAAAATTCGCTTAAATTGAGCATAATTTTTCATTTAAGTGGAAATTAATATTTTTACGCCCTAATGCCGGGAACACGCCCACCTCTGGCGTTATGCATATATATTTCTATTTCATTCTTTCTTTTTTTGGCTAATTATGTCACGTCGTTCGAGGCACAAACAAACAAAAAAAACAATATTCGCAGGCAAACCAAAAAAAAAAGGGAGTGAAAAAAGAAACGACCATTTTGATAAATATAAATGTGTCCATGGAAATGGCTTTGCTCCCTGTCGCCCCGCCATCACCCACATACCCACTGTCGATGTTTCCTTTTGAAATATTAATTTTGATAGATAGATATTATATAAAGATATTCCATTCGCCAGCTATTAGCAGAAGTGCTCGGGGAAATGGCCGGAAAAGAGAAACCAAAAAAGGAAGGAAAAGAAAAAAAAAAGAAATGGAGACACCATTCGTAGCATACTTTTCAGCATGATTAGAGGATATTGAAGAGGAAATTGAATGGCAATTTTTATGTTGCAGGTGTCCTCTCAGATTTTATTATTTTTTTTTTTTTTGATGCTCATAAATGGGAAAACGAAGAACACTGTGGGGGGGGGGAGGGGGAGGGGGGGGGGGCTCAGTTGAGAGTGGAGCTAGGGGTAGAATAGCGTAGCGGAAACTAGATGATGCCACAAGGCAAGGAAATAAAAAATTCTGCTATATAAGCATCAATGTTAATAGTATTAAACCCACCCTTTAATCCGCATCCAGCGCACATGTGACAGAAAAGTTGATTGGCATAAAATGGAGAATAATATAAAAAAACAAAAAAATAATAATAGTTCCACAGAAAATTGCGTTAATTGCGTTATACCCACACGAGTATTATTAGGTGTAAATACAAAAATTGCAACGGCTAAGAGAATGGCACCCAATTATCTTGAATATTTATTCCGTGCTCTACAATTTCCCCGGGATTATCACACAGTGAGAACATAGAATAAATGTATGACACTCGCTGCTATCTGCAAGCTCATTAATAATTAAAGATCACAAAACCGAAGAACCAAAGGAACCAAAGAAACGTTTCCCATAAGACTCATGATATTCCAAAAACTATCTCTCTGTCGCTGTGTTTCATTTTGTTGTTGCTGTTGTTGTTGCTGTTGCTGTTGCTGGAAACTGTTTCTCTATGCTTCATTCCCAGTTGCAGCTGATAAGGACGTTCGAGTCGTGGCTGGGGCATCGTTAGTTTACCATTCAGAACGGCCTACACACACTCCACACTGCACTCTCAATTTGCTCTCCTCGTTGCACTCAGACGCCCCAGCAGCAGCCTCTTGTTGCAAGCAGAAATTGCGTATACGCAATATTTCAGCCAGCAGCACCAGATCCAGCGCCAGTCCCAGCCCCAGCCCCAGCCCCAGGCCCAAAAACACGCACTAGAAAGGGCGCTGGAACGAAGAGTGTTGGGGGGAGGGGGGCTGTAAGCTGAAATGTTTGTGCTGTTTTCTGCTTTGGGCCTAGTTATCGTTTCCCAGCCCTCCTCCTACGAGGGGTACACCCTGTACAGTACGTTTTCTGTCTTGTCATATGATTCAATGAATTTTTCAAAACAGGGCGACACTGCAGGAGGCCAAAGAGGAGCAGCGGCTGAAGGGGCCCAAAGGGGCTGGGAAGAGTCGTGTGAGGTGGCTGCCCAAATAGCATAACAAATGTATGCAAGCGGGGGCCCCAACAAGGCACAGGGACAGGGGCAGTCTTCTGCATGCGTTGGCAGCCAAAACCAAACCCAAACCCAAACCAAAAAAAAAAACATTGCCAGGCCATGCAGCCAGGAATGATCAAGGGCCGGTAGGGCTACTGGGGCTTTGGGGGAAACGCAGGGAAACGGGGGCTAAGGGAAGTTATGATTGTTTCACGAGCTGACAAATAGAGCAACATGGATGGTGGGGGGGACAGACAGTAAAACTGGGAGGCAATCCCACAAAACAGAGTTGCAGTGGCAGGGGCAGTGGCAGGGGCAGTGGCAGGAGTTGGAGCTTGGAGCTAGGAAAATTTATGCCTCTGCCCAGGCAATGAGGAATGGGCGGATGGCTACTACATACTGGGCCTGGACAATAACCATATGCTATGCAAAAACACTCATCAGCACCGCTACCAGCTGCCACTTCCACCCGCCTTGAGCCTTGCGGCAACAACAAACGCCAAGCAACAAAAATATACATATATTTATTTTTGGTCAGAGTTTTGCCACACAGCCAGCGAATCTTTGATAAGTTCAATTTATTTCAAGACTTTGGGGCAATTAGTTGTGGCATAAAGGGGGAAAGAGAACAGAACAGAACAGAGCCCCGAGCAGTGCAGTGCAGAGATGTTTCACCACAGATAACTCCTACTTTGCGGCGCCGGAAGGTGCAACTCCTGAGGCTGCCAACTTAAATGGTTTGCAGCTCTTTTAAATTTACTCTCTCTTAGTTTTTGTTTTCTCAACATTTAATAGACAAACTTAAGAATTTAAATCGCCTTGAAATCACTTCACAAATACCTAAAAATGTCAGAAATATCTGCTTGAAGTATTTAATATTTTCAGCTTTGAAGTTGAAGTTGATTTAACCACAGAAACACACACACTCGCACACACACAGGAGGGGTAGAGGGAGGAGTGGTGTATGTCATGGCCGGCAGCCAAAGCTCT